GTCCCGTCCCTGCCCAGGGCAGGGCTTGGGGCTGGGTCAGCTCTAAACTCCATTCCAACCCCTAAAACAGGTGACCAAACAAACTGAAGTCAGTTAAGTTGAAGATATGTTCAATGTCAAAATTTTTTATGTTGGTTTTAACATTAAGTGATATTTTGAAGAGATCTAGACTGGGTTTAAACTGAAGGACTGTAAATTCAAGGTCTGTCTTTCATTTTAGTCATCTAGATTGAAAAACCTCTTCTAAACACACTGAATATCTGTATTAGATTAACAATGTGATCTTTAATCTATAGCTAAATGCGAATACTGAAACTACTTATCTTGGGTGTATTACATTTTACCCCACAAATGTTCTTTTGGTGTATGTCCTGCACAAGCCAGGAGTTTCCAGAATGAGATCCTTGCTGATAATCCCTGTCACTGTGTCTTTTTTCTTCCAGAGGAGACTACAGGACGGGGAAGAGACTGAACATGCGCAAAGTGATTCCGTACATTGCCAGTCAGTTCCGCAAGGACAAGATCTGGCTGCGAAGGACCAAGCCCAGCAAGAGACAGTACCAGATCTGCTTGGCCATTGATGATTCCTCTAGTATGATAGACAATCACTCGAAACAGGTAAAATAAAACCTCAGAAGTGTGAAGAAAAACTACCTGTGGTTGATGAGTATGTCATCTAGTGACTTAGAATCATAGAACCATCATTCGTAGGGTTTTTATTTATTTAAGAGTTGTCTTCTAAATAGTTGTTTCAGTGTTTGTTTCATTAGTGGTGTCTCTAGATCAATCAGCTGAAGCCGTGGAGCAGAACTAGTGTCTCTTTCTTGCACTGAGCACCTCACACAACTGTACCAGGCAGAGAGAGAGGCAGTCCATTTATTTTTCTGGATGATGAAGAATAATTTCAGTAGCATTCTTCATCTTGAACACAGAACTGTGAGTAAGGCTTTGAACATCCCATTTTTGATGTAGCTTTCTCCTTTCCCAGCTTGCCTATGAATCCCTGGCAGTCATTGGAAACGCGCTGACTCTTCTCGAGGTGGGACAGATTGCTGTGTGTAGGTGAGCTGAGTTCCAAGCTTGACTTGTTTCTCTTCAAGACTCCAGAGCAGAATGTAAATACCATATTCATGCTGTGGTCCTTTCCTTCCTTTCTAAAGCTTTGGAGAGACTGTTCAGCTGCTGCACCCGTTCCATGAGCAGTTCAGTGACCACTCAGGGACACGGATCTTGAGGCTTTGCAAGTTCCAGCAGAAGAAGACCAAAATAGCTCAGGTACATAAGAATTGCCTCTAGGGCAACAGGTTTGCCATGCTTTTCCAGACAAGATACCAGCAGCTTCATGGTTTCATGGCCACTGTGTAATGTTTGCTGGTTGGTTGTATCTGAGAGTGTGATAGGTGGTTAGATAAGCAAAGAGATATAATGGTCGCAGTTCTGGAATAGGAGGAATGATTTCTTATCTTCAGTGCTGACATGGACACTTTAAGCATTCACTGTGCTCTATATTGGGTCTTAAACAGTGTTTTGGGTACAAGTTACTGAGTACCCCAATCACATCAAAGTTTGTGGGACCATAGGAGGTTTTCATGCTGTGGATCTCTTGCCGTAGGAGGAGGAAGAGCTTTAAGTTTATCAGACTTGACTGTTTGCTGAGGAAAAGAACTTTCTCTAGTAATACTTCCTGGACAGCTGCAAAGTTTTCTTCTTTTAGGATGTTTTTTGCCATCTTACCTTTCCTAACTTGAATAAGATCTTCTGTATTTCCATTCAAAATTAACAGGAGACCTAAATAGCTTGGCATTAATCTAACAAGCCAAAATTGGAAGAACTTGACTGTTGTTGTCCTTAATTTTCATGGGGAAAATGAAACTAGATACTGCTGTTACAAGTTGAAGCCAAAGAAGTTCAGCCTAGAAATAGGATGTGTATTTTTAATGATGCCATTAATCACTTTAGCAATGTCCTGTTTTGATGGCTTTGTTAGTATTGGAAAAAAACACTTCGATCCAGAAAATTCTTTAGTAAAAAATACTACTTACATTTGAAGCAGGAGTTCATAGAGGAAAATGCCAAGGGCTGTATCTCTTAGGTGCTCAGACTAAGCTCTCTTGGCACTTAAAATAGAGAAGTGTATTCTTTAAAAGTGTTTTCATTATGAAATTTAGTGTTTTATGATAACTTAATCTTCTTATTTCTTTCCTCTGCAGTTTCTAGAATCATCAGCAAATATGTTTGCTGCAGCACAGCAGTTGTCTCAAAATATTAATCCTGGTGAGCTTTTCTTTGTTACTCTCCCTGTTGCCATGGCAGCAGGATGATCACTACAGTCCCAAAGCAGCATCCTGCCAGAAGGACTCCTAGCACTGACACATCACATTGGGCCTTTGGGTTTTGCTCTGCCAAAAAGCAGTGTTTGGTTGGAATTCAGCTCAAAGCCCAAGAGACACCTGTTTCATATTTGTCAGTAACTCCCTCATATTTTGTGTACAACTTTTCAAAAAGGCACATGGAATCACAGAACCACCAGGGTTGGAGGAGACCTCTGACATCGAGTCCAGACATGAACCTGTCACTGCTGGAACCCCTAAACCCGAACCCAGATCCTCCAGTGCCACATCAGACACCTCTGAAACACCTCCAGGGACGGTGTCTGATTTAGATGTGTAAAATAACCCACTTTGGGCACTGCAGTACTGTTCTCTGATGGAAGCCAAGCCTGTTAACTTGGGGACAACAGAGAAAGGTTTCCAAAGCTCAGTCTTAGCCCAAGGTGAAAGGCTAACACAGATGAACCCATAGGAACCTGCTTCTGGAGGAACAGGTTTGGGCTCATTGCAGCACCTGCTGCTCTACTGAGCTAGTGGCTGGACCCATGATTCAGGCAGTTTCTAACCCCTAGGCATGAAAGACAAGGCCATGGCTAGTTCCATTAGGTGTTTTCCATGCATTCTATCCTTGATTGTAGTACTGGTGGAATGCTGGTTCCCCTCCCCCTGTTGCTCTCAGTGATGTCACACAGTATTTTCTCTCTCAAGCCACTGGTAATTGCAGCTTAATGTTCAGTCATGGAATTTTATTTGATAAAGACTTCATTTCCTTAGGAATACACTTTTTTTCCCAGTGTACCCACAGAGCAAACAACAAAATAGAGTTTTTCTGCCTTCTAAATGGATTACTGTGACTAACTGGGATTTTAAATGTCCTTTGTGCTCAGAAACAGCTCAGCTGCTTTTGATTGTGTCTGATGGAAGAGGTCTGTTCCTGGAAGGCAAGGAACGAGTGACAGCAGCAGTTCAAGCAGCTCAGAATGCCAAGATCTTTGTTATTTTTGTAGTGTTGGACAATCCTAATTCCCGGGTAAGTGAACAAGAGAGAAGTATTCAACTGCAGTGAGTGAGAAACTGATGCAAACGTTTTTCATGCCTTGGAGTAATAGAACCATCAAGGCTGGAAGAGATCTCTAAGATGATCAAGTCTACCCATGAACCTGTCACTGCTGGAACCCCCAAACCCTAACCCAGATCCTCCAGTGCCACATCAGACACCTCTGAAACACCTCCAGGGATGGTGACTGCACCACCTCCCTGGGCAATATCCCAGGGCCTCAACACCACAACAGGCAAAACATTTCTCCTCACATCCAATCTGACTCTGCCCTGGCTCAGCTCAAGGCCATTCCCTCTCTCCTCTCCCTCAGCCCTGGCAGGACACACATCCCACACCTCTCTCCAGCCCTGGCAGGAGTTGCAGAGAGCCAGGAGGTCACCCCTGAGCCTCTTCTCCAGGCTGACCAACCCAACTCCCTCAGCCCTTGCCCATGTGCTCTGCCCTTTGCTGCCCTCGTTGCCCTTGGCTGGACAGACCATCCACCAGCTGGAGCTAATACGAGGTTAAACCTTACACAGAAAGGAGTGTGTGAGAGTCACTTAGTTCCTGAACTGGGAAAGTGAAGTCCTGCATCTGGTGGCTGGGGAAGAAAACTGTCAGATACCCTAATCTGGGGAACTGAGGTATCTGGGAGCTTTTCAGGGAAACTTCAGTGCAGTAACTGAGTTAACTTAAGCTTTATTTTCAATTATGTGGTGAAGACTCTGATTTTGTAGTTCACATTTTCTTCCTGTTTCTTTATTTTTGCCCACAAACCTCATCTGCTCCATTTATTGTTGGAAAAGTAACAATTCTCTTGCTGACAAACTGCTGTGAGGTCCTGATGAAATGTGGCTGTACCATCAAGCCAAAATTCTAGGTGTTTTCTATGAGTTGTTTTTTTCCTGGGCCCCCCAAAAAAGCCTTTTTTTCATAAACTGCATCAATTTCCAAGAGCAACTAAGAACTGGCTCTTCAAGAAGCACAGCTGGAGCTTAATCTGGTTTTTGTCTTTGTGGTAGTTGTGGAACTACTATGAAGTAAATTGCTAAAGAATCTTGTGTCAAAGTAAATGCAAGTGAGTATTGCACTGAAGAGCATCAAATGTGTGAGACTAAGGTGCTAATAGTAAACCTGAGCATAAGGAAAGAGATTTAGAGAACTTGGTATTGCAGGAGCTTAAGCTTAGTCTCTTCTAGCCTTTAATTTTTGGATTAAAGGACTTTTCTCTAAAGGGATATTTACCTATTTAAAGCATTGAACTGCTTTGTGTTCAGCTTTTGATCTGAGTCTTCACTAAGCACTCACAGCTTTTAGTCTCTGAAGTATTTCATTAACTTTTAATCTAACAGAGGAGGAATTATAAGTGTTTATAAAACAGGATAAATTCTATCAGGGGCCAGAAAATGTCATTTAGTAGTAACACAAACTCTCTGTTACAGGATTCCATTCTGGACATTAAAGTTCCTATCTTCAAAGGACCTGGAGAACTGCCTGAAATCAGATCCTACATGGAAGAATTCCCATTTCCCTTCTACATGATCCTTAGGGATGTGAATGCTCTTCCAGAGACTCTGAGCGATGCTCTCAGGCAGTGGTTTGAACTGGTCACTGCCTCAGACACTTTGTAGGTGAAATCAGGACCTGATGTGCTCCTAAACTGCTGAAATAACCAAAACAGCCTTTCCCTGGAGGGGCCACAAGGCTCTTCCCAACCAGGATTAACTGCAGGAGCTGCCCTGGGGCACTCAGACTGCAAAGAACCTGATTTCTTTGCCTGTTCCCACAAATAGCATCAAACTTTCCTCAACTCTTCTAATAATTTATTACCTTAAAAAGTGTTTGTAATATTCACAGTGGTAAAATTCTGCCACTGCCATAAGGAAAATGGGTCATGCTGCTTCTGGGAGGGTATTTCTGCATCAGAATTTCAGGTTCCTTAGTTTCACCCAAGAGGCAAGTGGGAAGGAGTGGGGAGAAGGGGATGTAGATGGTTTTAACCAACCAAAACTACTTGAATCCTTGGAACTATTCTGCAGTTTAACACGTCCCCATTAGTTACTGGTTTTTGTCTGACAGTATGAACAGGGGGTTGATGAATGATGCCATGTGCTGGTCCTGACAGTATCAGCTTACACTGTGAGATTTTCCCCTCTGTCCAAGGCAGACATTGAGGATCTTTCACAGATCCAGTGTCTTACAGCATGGACATGACTTTTCTTTGCAAAAGCTATGCATCCTCTGTGGTCTGTACCAATAAACAGAGGTACCACAGTTTGTAATTATGGTCTCTGTTATTGAATCACAGAGCTGTCAGGGTGGGAGGAGATCTCTGAGATCATCGCATCCAACCATGAACCTGTCACTGCTGGAACCCCCAAACCCTAACCCAGATCCTCCAGTGCCACATCAGACACCTCTGAAACACCTCCAGGGATGGTGACTGCACCACCTCCCTGGGCAATAGCCCAGGGCCTCAACACCACAACAGGGAAAACATTTCTCCTAACATCCAGGGCAGAATCAGACTCTCTTAGCTCAAGGCCATTGGGTCTAGTCCTCTCTGTGCAGCCCTGGCAGGACACACATCCCC